ATTGGGATCAATTGTGGTCGTAAGCGGAGGACTACCTGTATATCATTCTGGTTCTTGGTGTCATGGTTCCGACAGATGAAACTCTTCAAAAGAACTTCGAGGCATTGTTTACCTTAAAGAATCTTTTATTGGAGAAACAAAGTATCGGCACTACATAGTCGAAACCAAAAACTGAATTCCCCTCCCCTGGATACAAAGTAACAAAGCACAATTCCCTCCTCCAATAAACAGTCATAAATCACGTTCCCCAATTAGCTTGAAGCACGGGCTTTCTCCCTAGCTCTCCAGCCTGCCAAAACTCTATCAACTCTGGGCCCAATGACCTTGAGTTCCCACGGCTGAGTTATTATTGTTATGACTAGCTGGACTCTCATCCACATTCCCCCTCCCAGCATCAACTAACTCCAAAAGCAATAGAGGAAAATGGCTGCATTTCCATCTGTTGTCAAAGCAAGAACATCCGATGTTAGAGCGTTGACACTTGGGCTGAGAGAAAGGGACTGGTCCATAGTCTTCCAGGGAACTCTTGTGGCAATAGCACTTAGACTTATATACCCCTTAATCATGCCTTACAACATGCTCTGAGCGCTTTACCAAGTGAGCATATTGCCCCCAACAATCTGGATCCTCCTTTTACCGACTTCGGAAGGATGAAAGGCGGAGTCAACCTTGAGCCAATCAAAATGGAAAGAATCAAACTCTTGACAGTGGGCAGAATTACTTGCACTGTGCCACATGGCTCCTTGGTAAGACCAAAAGCTTGGTCACCTTGTTCTTAGTCCAACACCTTCACCATACACCATAGTAGCTTTTCAAACTATTCCACTCATTAACTCATTGCCTTACACTTTGCTTTACCTCACCTCGTTGTGTTCTGTTCTAATTTTAGTGTATCCCAGGAGTGCACAACTTTGCTCCAAATTTCAAGTACACGAGCTACGGACCTAAAAATAAAGCTTAGGGCCCAGTGGTGGGATTCAAATATGTGAACAACCGGTTCTCTGTGTGGATGTCACTTCCGGAAGTCCATTCTGGGCCTGGGCAACAAAAAATTAGCTATCCGTTCTGCTGAACTGGTGCGAACTGGCTGAATCCCACCACTGATAGGGCCACAGGAAGTTCCTTAGACTGTGGTATATCAAACCATTCTTTAGTAGGTGAGGGAAAAGATGAATCTCAGCTTTAGGTCTTCTTGAGAAGATACTATTAAAGAAAAAAAAATGTCACTCAATTTATTTGGGGTTAAAATGCACAAAGTCCTTAATTAATGAGGCAGAAGGAGTTTGAGTTTTTGGGCTTTTTTTTTTCAAAAAAATGGGGGAGATTCTGAAACTGAGTGATTTGGTCTTCTCCAGATAGTACTGTGCTAGATGTAAAGAGAGATTTAATGGATCAGTGAGTCTTATATGGAGAAAGGCAGAATTAAGTCTGGAACCCATAGACATTAGCAAATTTCTAATGGAAAAAAATGGACATTTGCCCATAATGCTCTGCTATGACTAGCAGAGTAGCATAGATCTGGCCTTCTGCATTGTATGATGGGAAAGCAGCCCATTTAAAAAGCTAGTTCCAAGTTGGCCTCACAGTGCCAAAAGAGTGATTTCTCTAAGCAAGATGTGAGAGCCACTTTGGCCTAGTGCGTAAAGCGCCAGGCTAGAAAGTGGGAGATCGTGAGTTCAAATCCCACCTTAGACATGAAAGCCAGCTAGCTGATTTGGGGCCAGTCACTCCCATTCAGCCCAGCCCACCTCACAGGATTGTTGTTATGGGGAAATTAGGAGGAGGAAGATGTGTTGGCTATGTTCACTGCCTTGAGCTAATTCTAAAAATAATAAAGGCGGGATACAAATAAATAAAATGCAAGTATGGAAGCCTTACTACTGGACTGGGAAAAGATTTTGGCAAGAATCTAGACAATCTCTGTTTTTTTTTCTGTTTTGGTTATTGGTGGTGGTGCAGTGGTTAGATTGTAGTGTTGCAGTTTGATCCTGATGGGGCTCATGGTTGACTCAGCCTTCCATCCTTCCGAGATCAGTAAAATGAGGACCCAGATTGTTGGGGGCAATACTCTTTCTTTCTTTCTTTCTTTCTTTCTTTCTTTCTTTCTTTCTTTCTTTCTTTCTTTCTTTCTCTCTCTCTCTCTCTCTCTCTCTCTCTCTCTCTCTCTCTCTCCCTCCCTCCCTCCCTCCCTCCCTCCCTCCCCCCTTCCTTCCTTCCTTCCTTCCTTCCTTCCTTCCTTCCTTCCTTCCTTCCTTCCTTCCTTCCTTCCTTCCTTTCTTTCTTTCTTTTTATTACTTTTTATATATTTGATGTAATGCAATGCACTGCAACACAATATAACATATACCATCTATACTAATACTATACTATCTATGTCAATTCCCGGCTGAAAAGCTCAATGAAGTAAAACACCGAAGACATAGCGATCTCTAATGTAAACTTTATTAGGCATAGCATACTGGTAGATAGAAGGAAAGCTAACTCTGGCAACATGGCAGGAAACAGATAATTAAAAGAGTAAAACTTTATCTGCCTCTCTGACAGTTCAAGTCATATTGTCCAATGAATCTTCCAGCAATTGTTATGGGAAGAAAACTTGACTTCGCCAAAACATTTTTTCAGCGTTCTCGGCTCTCACCTGTGGATCCCAAGCTCTTCCCTCGCAACTGTAGGCAAGCTAGAAGCAATACGGCAGTCCTAAAAACAATAAATCTTCACAGCTTGACAGTCTATGCTATGCTATGCTATGCTATGCTATGCTATGCTATGCTATGCTATGCTATGCTATGCTATGCTATGCTATGCTATGCTATGCTAT